AACGAGCTCTTGTTTTAAGATGCACGAAGCCTTTTCGCCACAAAGCTCCTCACGGTCAATCCTCTCGGCCACAGTCAGCTCTCCGTGCTCCAGGTTTATGTCACAGTAACGTTTATCGCTCTCCTCGGTGTCAATTCTGGCTCTTCTGGTGGACAGCGCACCTGTCTGCAGCCCGAGATCCTTAGCGATATTTCCAATAAGTGATCCTCGTTTCATCTCCTCCGGGAAAGAATAGCTCATGTCTCCATGCGCAACTTGCAGCAGAAAAAACAAGCAGTTCCACGATAGAAGGACAAATATGTTCAAATCCATTTTGTAAAATTATGTGTAAAATATCCAAACGTATAACGTCAGTTAGCTGAAGTTAGTAGCGACAAGATACGGAACAAAAACGAGCCGCAAATGATCCACACCGTCTTTATCTGCAACAGCTCAACGGCGCATGAAACAAGTCAACAAAAGAACAGATACATATTTAAGGCTGGTGCATAGCGACATCTTGAGTTCAGCTGAACAACATAAACGGAATAAAAATAAGATTTTGTCTTAATTTTAAAAAGGAAGGCAGGCTTATCGTCGATTTTAATCGCATTTTCAGCCGTAATTTAACAAATCACTGTAAGCTATCAGACAGTTTTGTTTTAAGTAGTTTGCACTAAGCACTTTATCAATTCTTTTGAGCATCAAATGGTAATTTTTTTTCTAAACTTTATCTGATCAGCAGCCGTTTTAAAACTGAGAGAGTTAATAGCATGATACCTTGAGTTCTGATTAGATCCAGGTGCATGGGGAATTTACATAGCCAATTATTTAAATTTTCTTTATTATTGCTATTTATAATTGTGAATAAGTGAAATATTCCTTTCTAAAAAAACAATTGAAATTAAGAATTTTCTACAATGTATAATAAAATTCATATTTTTTAGCATATTTCAGTTTAATTAACCTTTTATAACACAAATTACAGCAGATGCTCTGTCCTCTCCGTCCCATCTTTAACATTTTCACAAGTGTTAAAGATGTCACATGCTTTTGTCATGCTTTTGAGCATGTAAACCAAGGATTATTACTCAGCACTTTATCTAACCGGTATCTAACTGGCAGGCAATTGCTTCATCTGCTTATAAATAAGAGGTAAAGTCCAGACACACCGTGGCACAGACATCAAGTTGATAAGCAGCTAGTTATACAAAAGCATATGTTTTGTACCAATACAAAACATACAAGATGTTTGTACCAGTACAACGAACATCAACAGGAACTTCATACAAACCCACACTTCATAAATAATGGATATGAAACGGTAGCTAAAAAAGGCGTTTTGCAACTCATGGGTAAAACATCCATTTACAATAGCACGTTTAAGTACCGTATTTTCCGCACTGTAAGGCGCACCGGATTATAAGGCGCACCTTCAATGAATGGCTTATTTAAAAACTTTTTTCATATATAAGATGCACCGCATTATAAAGCGCATAGAATAGACGCTACAGTAGAGGCTGGAGATACGTTATGCATCCACTAGATGGAGATGCACTAAAAGGGAATGTCAACAAAACAGTCTGACTGGCGAGGAGAGCCTTCAGCGACTGGGCCGGGGCGTGGCCGGACGATGGTCACCCTTCTCCATTTGCGCACAGCATGTTCGTGGAGAACATGGTGCTAAATGACCTGCAGACGACCAGATTCTAGACGGTCTTTAGATAGGTTTCATATATAAGGCGCACCGGATTATAAGGCGCACTGTCGGCTTTTGGGGAAATTGAAGGTTTTTAGGTGAGCCTCATAGTGTGGAAAATACGGTAAGTCTAATTTTAAAATTAGACTGATTGACCATTACCACAAATGAGTAGTACTAAACTTGACATAAGTATTAGAAAAACAAATAAAATTGATCTTTCGTGTTTCTTTCACTAAGCCTGTGCTTATGTGGTGTTTGGATGGATTTGCCTCACCAATTATGGTGAGGCAAATCTTAGTAAAGGTTATATCTTAATTTTAATTATGACTGCGCATCAAAATTTATAAAATATAAAATTAAGATCTTTTATCAATTTAGCCAAGAAACATCTTTCTATTTAATGGCTTATTGCAAATGGACCAAAAGGAGCTACACACTCACCAGGAAAAAAAATATGACATGTGCTCAGTGACAGAAAAAAAAATAAAAACAACACATTTCAAATAAAAACAAATTGAGTTGCAAACAGAAAGTAACCATAATCAACAAGATACATTCTCTCGAAGAACAGGAAGCCACCTCAAAAATCGCTATCAAATGCAGGAAGGATACCAACCCAAAAGATCCTGGGATTTTGCTGTGAAGGATATTTCTTTGTGATAATAAAAAGTTTTAGCTGTGCAGCCATAATTAAAATAATTTATGCAGAATAAATGGGGGAAAAAAGAAGAAAACCTCAAATAAAGACACAGGGGTGGCTTATGTGCTGAAAAGATGTAAATGTACACAAAACAAAATATAACCTGACCAATGACGAAAATCTAAACCATTCCTTACATGTGACACCTTTTATCCTTTTCTTTCCAATGCATAAAGATGAACCACAACAAAAACAAACTATTATTTAAGATTAAAGCCGACTCACAACAAAATCCAGAACGGAATACCTTTGCCATTAAAAAAGTTGGATATTTTTAAGAACACTGTTGCAATTGCTTTGAAAGTCTTTCACACAATGAGTCTCACTATAGTTAAATATTAAGAAAAACTAAATTGAAAAGTTGTTTGAACAGCAATCATGATGCTCTCATAAAATTTCATCTGCTAAAAAGTAACATCAGCATTGGCCTTAGGTGCAGAAAATCCACAATTAAAACATTTCAATATTAAAAGCTTAAAAGAAGAATATTGAGATTTTAAGACTGCCACATATAACTTATTGTATCACCACAACATTGTATATATCTACGCTAAAGAAGTAGATGTATTACATATATTTCGAAAAAAGTAATAATAATGCTGAGACACTGAATACGCAATAAAATACTAATATTATTATCAATTCCAAAATGTTCAAATGTTATTAATTGGGATCACATATGACACACAAAGAAGCAAGATTGTTCAATGCAAAAATCATCCACACAAGTAAAAAAATATATCAAAGAGCGATCATCTCTAAATAAGACGTTTCAGCACCAAGGACAGAGAAGGACAGGACAAACACATAAAAGCATGTAGGTTGAGACATAACGCAAGAGCAAGAGAAACAAGTGAATCACTGAAAACAAGAGCAAGAAGAGTAATTGTTTTTGTAGGATGGGTGGGCTGCCACTATTTTAAATTAAATATGTTCATACCTCTAGAGAATCGTCACAATCTCCAAAAACAACGGCAAATTCTGTTGGACTTTTCTTCAGAGTCTGGTCAGCAAGCAGAGTGCAGTCATTGTAGGATGATACAAATTTAAAGTCACTAGTTCTGGATCCTGTTGTCAGGTAGGCATCGTAATTGGAAGTGCTACGCAAGGTCCCAGTGGTGTCAATGTCTGCATAATTAGGAGGGAAATAAGGCCCAGGAACTGCAACTGCTCCATCAAACAGAAGTCTGGGCTTTCTCCTATGACAAAACCTCACACCAAGGATGATGATGATAAAAGTCAGAAAGAAGGTGGACACAGAAACCAGCGCGATGATCAGATAAGAGGTCAGCTTGGAATTATTCTCTTCATAAGAAATGTCTTTCAGTTCCGGCACTTCAGCCAAGTTGTCAGAAATAAGTAAATACATTGAGCAGGTGGCAGACAGAGAGGGCTGTCCATTATCTTTCACTGCAACAATCAGGTTCTGTTTCATGCTGTCAGACTTTGAAATGTCCCGCTGTGTCCTGATCTCTCCACTGTATAGATCAATACTGAAAAGTCCAGGATCTGTGGCTTTGACTATATGGTAGGAAAGCCAGGCGTTCTGTCCAGAGTCTGCGTCCACTGCTATCACTTTGGACACCAGAGATCCTCCATGTGCAGCTTTAGGGACTAACTCAGTCATGAAGGAGCTGCCCTCTGGTGCCGGGTACAGGATCTGAGGATAATTATCATTCACATCAGATATGAACACACTGACAGTAACGTTGCTGCTGAGAGGAGGAGAACCATTGTCTCTGGCCATCACTTGGACTTTAAAACTCCTGAACTGTTCATAATCAAATGACCTCACAGCGTGGATCACTCCTGTGTCTCCATTAACAGATAGATAGGAGGACACCGAGGCACCGTTCACCTCACCAGGTAACAG